AGCACAAGAAAAAAAAACATCTGGTTCCCCTCCCTTCAAGTCCCACGGGGAGAGGCAATGAGCCCAGATGGATGCTATGCATGTGGTAAATTGCATTGTCCTTGAAGTTTGGCACACTCAGAAATAATGTGCATGGACTCTCAGTGCCTATGGAGGACTGCCTTCCCTGATAGTGCATACTCCAAAGAAATAGGGGAGAGAAAGGAATTCCAAGAAGGGAAATAGGTGTGCAAATCTTGTGAAGTAGAGTTAGCATCTGCCAGTTTAGCTGCACTAGAGGGTCACTAAGAGAAATCAGAAGACACAGCCAGAAAAGAAGCTTGGGATCAGATTCTAAGGTATTATAACCAGCTAGAGGGTTCTACATTTCCAAAGAGTGCTAGAGGATCACTCTATGGAGTCTTAAAGCAGATTCTAGTGGTCTTATACTCCAATCTCCTTATTATATAAAGAGGAAATGAGCCCAGGAAGATGTCTGATATTGCTGTAATCACACAGGAAGCAATTCTAATTTCTGAAAGATAATAATTGGTTAATTCATAGTAGTAATATAATTCACAGTATTATTTTTAACAACAAAGTTTTTCCAAAATGAGTGTCTGAAGTCCACCTAGTTGAAGATTTAAGAATCTGCAGAAGTTCTGAGAAATAGAGATGTTTATTCTCTTCCTCCTTTTCTCTTATGTTCTGGGACTGGCTACATATCTTTCCTGAGATATGCAGCACTCAGACTTACAATGATTTTATGTGGCTGAAGCTTTGGGCTATGTTGAAGTCCTCGGATAGAATTGCATAGGCTTCCCCAACCCCAGTCTTCTGTGGGCCACAGGCCACATGGAATGCCCTGATAGAGCTGAGGGATAAGGACTGGGAAGGCAGAGGATGAGAATTCTGGCTCTCTTGACCCCAAGAGGCAGTTGACAGCTTATCTTTGCACCACTGGCTCCATGAGAAAAGAAACCACTTTGTCAAATCTCACTGCCTGTAAGATTCCAACCCCAGACTTGAGTCCTAATGAGAAAAATGCCTGCCCATCCCAACCAAAGAGGGCTGAATTAGAGTAAAAAATCAGAACATGTACCAGTAAAATAGGATTACAAGAGGATGAAAAGAACAGAGCATAAGGAGCTCACAGACATGATCTTCTAGTATTCTAGTAGTCTCTTCATACCTAGTAGGATATGAATGAGCAATCTGATCATAAGAAATATCACATGAACAGTGGGACTGATTTCTTGCCTATTAGAATATAAACATCTATTAGGTCAGGGACCTGTCACTGTGGTCACTACTCTATCCCTGAAGCATCAAACATACTGCCTGACACCAAATAATCAGTAAAAGTGTTTGAGTGAATAGATAAATGAAGGGCCACCACTCTCTTTTTTTTTCCAGTTTTATTGAGATAGAATTGACATGCATCACTGTATAAGTTTAAGGTATAGATCATAATGGCTTGACTTACATATTTTGTGAAATTATTGCTGCAATACGTTTAGTTAGCATCTTTCATCTCACACAGATCCAATAAAAAGAAAAAAACAACAAACTTTTTCCTTGTTATAAGAACTCAGGATTTGCTCTCATAACAACTTTCATATATATCATATAGCCATGTTAACTATAGTCATCATGTTGTATATTATAGCCCTAGTACTTATTTGTCTTATAACTGGAAAGTTGTACCTTTTAACCACCTTCCTCCAATTCCCCCTCCTCCTACACTCTGATTACTACTCCTCTGATTACTACAGATCTGATTTATTTTCCTGTAAGTTTTTTTTAAGATTCCACACATAAATGAGATCATACGATATTTGTCTTACTCTGTTTTACTTTTTTTTAAACTTACCACAATGCCTTCAAGTGTCATCCATGTTGTCATAAATTCCAAGATTTCCTTTTTTTTAATGGCTGAGTAACATTCCGTTGTGTATATATACCACAACTTTATCCATTTATCCATCACTGGATGCTTAGATTATTTCCATATCTTGGCTAATGTAAAAAGTGCTGCTATGAACATCAGGGTGCAGATATCTTTTGGTTTTGTTTCTTTTGGATAGATTCCCAGAAGTGAAATTGCTAGATCATTTGGTGATTCTATTTTAATACTTTGAGGATCCTCCATACTGTCTTCCACAGTGGGTGCATCAGTTTGCCTGTACAGGGCATTGCCTGTACATTGCCAACAATGCACAAGGATTCTCCTTTCTCCACATTCTCACCAGCATTTGTTATCTCTTATCTTTTTGATGATGGCCACTCTAACAGGTTGAGGTGATGGACCATTGTGGTTTTAACTTGCATGTCTGTAATGATGAGTGCTGTTGAGCATCTCTTCATGTAGCTATTGGCCACTTGTTTATCTTTTTTTGAAGACTGTCCACTTATGTCTTTTGCCCATTTTAAAATTGGATTATCATTATTATTTTTTGCTATTAAGCGTATGAGTTCTTTATATATTTCAGATGTTAACTGTTTATCAGATATATGGTATACAAATATTCTGATTCTGTAGTTGTCTTTTCATTTTGTTGATTTTTTTTTCTGTATGAGACTTTTAGTTTGATGTAGTCCTACTTGTTTATTTTTTATTTTAATGCTTGTACTTTAGGTGTCATATCCAAAAATTATTGCCAGAACCATGTTATGGATTCTCCCTTTATGTTTTCTTCTAGGAGTTTCATGGCTTCAGGTCATACATTTAAGTTTTTAACCCATTTTTGAGTTAAATTTTGTGTCTACTACTTTTTCATGGTAATACTCTCAGTTGCCTTTTGTGTCTTGTATTTCACGTAAAACACCCACAACCTATTCCTATGGTGATAGTGCCACTATCACTTCTACAGTGAATTTTCCTAGAAAAATAATCCTAATTGTGGAGTTCACTGCTATAGTTCCTGGTTTCTTAAGCAAACTCTAAGGAAACACTGACAAAATTTGTAGCAACTCCACTTGTTAACCTGAATGCCCCAAGGTTATTTTTCTTGCATGGGGATTAGCAAATTTTGCAAAATCTGTACAAAATCTCCATTACAAATGAATCCAGTCTGGCCAGAGGGACCTCAAAAGCCCAGGAGGAACACATACACATTTTTTTAAACATTTAGCATCATATCTATTTTCTAAGTAGACAAGACATACAGACACTGAGCCATTTCTCAACATGCTTCAGAAAGGGCAGAATATAGTCCATTTGATCAGATCAATGATCACATTTCAAATTATATAGACAGTCAGCATTTGGTTTCAAGGCAAAACTTTAAGAAAGCTTTCAGGAAAGAAATGAGAAGCAAATAGAGATATAGGCCTTGGCAGTCAGAACCTTAGATGTTTAAGTAATAGCATTCATTTCTGTCAACTTTACCACCCTTACAATATTCTTTTCTTTTACTGTGATTTGATCCTTCTGAGGGATCTGGTTTTCCATTACTGTTGTTTTGATTTAGCCACAATCTCTATTTAAGGTCTTTCTGACCTATAATTTAAAGTCAGCGTGAATAAAAATAAATTTGGGATTAGTTTTTGGAGCAGTTTCAGAATGTGTGATTTAGATATATCTAACATGTATTATCTATTAGGTGCCAGGTAACTGCTTAGAATTGGGAATAAAAGGGTCAGTGAGACAGACATAGCCCTTGCCCTCCGAGAATTTCTAATTTAGTAAGAATAAGGCATACAGTTCGCAATGACACGTTGCGATATGGTCTGTGACAGTGAAAGTCACAGTGGAAGATAGGGAGGACAGCCTAGAGAAAGTGGATTATGATTTGAAGATGAGGAGGATTTAGGTGAAGGAAGAGGGGTATATGTGGGGTAGGGACATTAAGAGGGACCTCATGCACAAAAATGCAGAGGAAAAAGTGGCACACTGGGGGAATAGATCTAGGAGATTAAGTGGATAAACCACCACATGAGATTATGGATTCTGGGCTCTGTACAAAAACATTAGGTGGGTTGGATGTAAAAATCCAGCCAACACTTTTCTCTCCAAGCCTTTTACTCTGACAGGGGTCTGAATTTGCTCTGAGAAAGGGATATCTAATCTGCACTGAAGTATCATTTGGGCTAACTGTGGTCCTATAAAATGGTAGGTTGGGTCCAGATTATGAAGGATTTTGTAAATTTGGGAACTGAGTGCTGAGAGTAGTGGTGGGAGCAAAAGGGGGAATTCATTCCTCCAAGCAGGAGAATTACAGATCAGATATGCATTCTAGAAAGAACACTAATTGTCCTCCTGGAGGGTGATTTATATGGGAGGCAGAGAGATAGATGGGAAGACCACAGTAATATCCCAGAGAAGAGGAAAGGGGGACCTAAACTTGGCAAGGGCGACAAGGAGGGAAGTTATTGGTGCTTGATTGGGATTTGGAGGCCTGGAGAAGGTGAAGGGATAAATACTATGTACAGGATCGAGCACTGAGCAACTGAGTTGACTGTGCTGTTTCTGGAGATAGGAGAGCAGTTGAATGGAGATACACTGACTTCAGGTTTGGACACAGTTGAACTTTAGTTGTATAAGGTGCATCTGGCTTGCACGTAGTTGGATATGTGCATCAGCAGCTCAGGTAAAGATTGGCTTGCAAATATATATTAGGGTGTTATCAAAATAATAGATAAGATTACCCAGGGGAAGGATGTAGAGTTAAAAGAGAAGTGGGAGCAGTCCTGAGAGACTGTAATGTTTAAAAGATAAATAGAGAAAAAATTGCCTGTAAGGGATACTGAAAAATAACAGCTCAGTAGACTTCCAGGACAGGTATGTTATCACTGAAGTCAAGAAATTGAAAGGTTTAAGGAGGAGAAAGTTTAATTAGATAAAGACTAAAACCTGTTTATGAAAGTTATTATTCAGTGGAATAGATTGGAATGGGAAGATGTGAAGCAGGATAAGACAGAAGAGCACTGCAAATGCAGTACAATGGGAAATTAATCATCAGTCTATTTCAATATGGAGACTTAACTATTGGATTATTTTCCTTTTTCTTCTACATTAGAAAGACAGAAGATTCCAAACCATTGGAAGGAGAATGACAAACACATCTTCCAAAATAATGGGATGAAAATATTTTTTCTCTTCCAAGGAACTTTTGAAGTTTAAGTCCTCTCTGTCATCAAAGAAAAGGTAAGAAAGGTTTGGGTTTCCTTTTTTTTTTTTTTTCCCAAACTTCTGTTTAAATTCCAGTTGGTTAACATACAGTGTAATATTAGTTTCAGTTGTAAAATTTAGTGAGTCATCACTTACATATGACACCCAGTGTTCCTCACTATTAGTGCCCTCCTTAACCCATCAGCCATTTAACCCATGCCCTGCCCAACTCCTCTCTGGTAACCCTCAGTTTGTTCTCTATAGTTAAGAAACTGTTTCTTGGTTGCCCCCTCCTTTTTGTTCATATGTTCATCTGTTTTGTTTCTTAAATTCCACATATGAGTGAAATTATATGGTATTTGTCTTTCTTTGAATTATTTCACTTAACATAATGCTCTTTAGCTCCATCCATGTTGAAAATGGCAAGAGTTATTTTTTCATGACTAATATTGCATTGTGTAAATATACCACAATTTCTTTATCCATTCTTCAGTTGATGGGTCTTTGGGCTTTTCCCATAATTTGGCTATTGCTGATAATGCTGCTATAAACATCAGGGTGCATGGATCCCTTTGAATTAGTATTTTTGTATCCTTTGGGTAAATACCTAGTAGTGCAATTGCTGGGCTGTAGGGTAGTTCTATTTGTAACTTTTTGAGTAACTTTCATACTGTTTTCGACAGTGGCTGAAACAGTTTGCATTCCCACCAACAGTGCAAGAGTGTTCCCCTTTTTCCATGTTTCCTGTGTTGTTAATTTTAGCCATTCTGACTGGTTTGAGGTGATATCTCATTGTAGTTTTGATTTGTATTTCTCTGATGATGAGTGATGTTGAGCATCTTTTCATGCACCTATTGGCCATCTGTATGTCTTCTTTGGAAAAATGTTTATTCATATCTTCTGCCCATTTCTTAATTAGATTTTTTTTTTTTTAAGTTTTGAATTGGGTAAGTTCTTCATGGATTTTGGATACTAAACCTTTATCAGATGTGTCATTTGGAAATATCTTCTCCCATTCCGTGGGTTGACTTTTAGTTTTGGTGACTGTTTCCTTTGTTGTGCAGAAGCATTTTATTTTGATGAAGTCACATTACTTTACTTTTGCTTTTGTTTCCCTTGCCTCAAGAGACGTATCTCTTAAGATGTTGCTTTGGCCAATGTCAAAGAGGTTACTGTTTGTGTTGTCCTCTAAAAACCATTTAAATGGTTTCCTATCTCACATTTAGGTCTTTCATCTCTTTTGAATGTATTTTTGTGTATGGTGTAAGAAAGTGGTCCAGTTTCATTCAACTGTGTGTTGCTGTCCAGTTTTTCTAACACCTTTTGTTGAGGATACTGTCTTTATTCCATTGGATATTCTTTCTTCATTGTTGAAGATTAATTGACCATAAGATTATGGGTTCATTTCTGGGTTTTCTTTTCTATTGATCTATGTGTCTGTTTTTGTGCCAGTATCATACTATTTTGATGACTACAACTTTGGAATATAACTTGAAATCTGCAATTGTGATGCCTCCAGCTTTTCTCTTCTTTTTCAAGACTGCTTTGGCTATTCGGGGTCTTTTGTGGTTCCATACAAAATTTAAGATTGTTTTGTTCAGCTCTGTGAAAAATGCTGTTGGCATTTTGATAAGGATTGCATTAAATTTGTAGATTGTTTTGGATAGTATAGACATTTTTAACAATATTTATTTTTCCAGTTCATGATCATGGAATGTTTTTCCATTTCTCTGTGTTATCTTCATTTTCTTTCATAAGCATTTTATAGTGTTCAGAATACAGATCTCTTACCTCTTTGGTTAGGTTTATTCCTAGATTTCGTATGGGTTTTGGTGCAATTATAAGTGGGATCAATTCCTTGATTTCTCTTTCTGCTGCTTCCTTATTGGTATATAGAAATGCAACAGATTTCTGTATATTGATTTTGTATACTGTGACTTTACTGAATTCATTTATCAGTTTTAGCAGTTTTTTGGAGGAGTCTTTGAGTCTTTAGGATTTTCTATATAGTATCATGTCATCTGCAATAGTGAAAGTTTGACATCCTTACCAATTTGGATGCCTTTTATTTCTTTTTGTTTTCTGATTTTGGTGGCTAAGACTTCCAGCAGTATGTTAAATAACAGTGGTGAGAGTGGATATCCCTGTCTTGTTCCTGACTGTAGAGGAAAATGTCTCAGTTTTCCCCACTGAGGATGATATTAGCTGTGTGTGTGTGTGTGTGTGTGTGTGTGTGTGTGTGTGTGTGTGTTTTAAATGGACTTTATGATATTGAGGTATGTTCCCTCAATCCCTACTGTGTTGAGGGTTTTTATCAAGAATGGGTGCTGTACTTTGTCAAATGCTTTCTCTCATATTGTTCTTATCCTTTCTTTTATTAACGTGGTGTATCATGTTGATTGATTCATGAATATTGAACCATCCTTGCAGCCCAGGAATAAATCCCACTTGATTGTGGGGAATGATTTGATTTGTTGGTGTTTTGTAGAGAATATTTGCATTCATGTTTATCAGGGATATTGTCCTATAGTTCTCTTTTTTTAGTGGAGTCTTTGTCTAGTTTTGGAATCAGGATAATGTTGGCCTCATTGAATGAGTTTGGAGGTTTTCCTTCCATTTCTATTTTTTGTAATAGTTTGAGAAGAATAGGTATTAACTCTTCTTGAAATGTTTGGTAGAATTCCCCAAGGGAGCCATCTGGCCCTGGACTTTTGTTTGTTGGGAGATTTTTGATTACTGATTAATTTTCTCTGCTGAATACCAATCTGTTCAAGTTTCCTATTAATTCCTGTTTCAGTTTTGGTATTTTATGTTTCTAGGAATTTGTCCATTTCTTCTAGATTACACAATTTATTGGCATATAATTTTTCATAATATTCTCTTATAATTGTATGTACTTCTGTGGTGCTGGTTGTTGTTATTTCTCCTCTCTCATCTGTGATTTTATTTATTTGGGTACTTTCTCTTTTCTTTATGATAAGTCTGGCTAGGGGCTTTTCAATTTTATTAATTTTTTCAAAGAACCAGCTCCTGGTTTCACTGATCTATTCTACTGTTTTCTTAGTTTCTGTATCATCTATTTCTACTCTAATCTTTATATTTCCCTTCTTCTGCTGGCTTTAGGCTTCATTTGTTCTTTTTCTAGTTGCGGTAGGTGTAAGGTTAGATTATTTGAGATTTTTCTTGCCTCCTGATGTAGGCCTTTATTGTTATATACTTCCCTCTTAGAACTGCTTTTGCTACATCCCAAAGGTTTTGGACTGTTGTGTTTTCATTTTCATTTGTTTCCATGTATTTTTTATACTTCTTTAATTTTCTGATTGATCCATTCATTCTTTAATAGGATGTTCTTTAACCTTCAAGTATTTGTGGTCTTTCCACATTTTTTCTTGTAGTTGACTTCAAATCTCATAATGGTGTGGTCAGAAAAGTTTCATGGTATGATCTCAATCTTTTTGTACTTGCTGAGGCCTGATTTGTGACCTAGTATGTGATCTATTCTGGATAGGGTCCCATGTGCACTTTAAAAGCATGTGTATTCTGCTGCTTTAAAATGAAATATTCTGAATATATTTTTAAGTCCATCTGGTCTGATGTGTCATTCAAAGCCATTGTTTCCTTGCTGATTTACTGCTTAGATGATGTGTTCATTGCTGGAAGTGGGGTGTTAAAATCCCCAACCATTATTGTATTATTATCAATGAGTTTCTTTATGTTTACTATTAATTGCTTTATGTATTTGGGTGCTCCCAAGTTGGGGGCATAAATATTTGTAATTGTAAGATCTTCTTGTTTGATAGTCCCCTTCATTATGATATAGTGCCCTTCTTCATCTCTTGTAACAGTCTTTGGCTTAAAATTTAGCTTGTCTGATATAAGTATTGCTAATCCAGCTTTTTATTTTGACTTCCATTTGTATGATAAATATTTCTCCATCCCCTCATTTTCAATCTGCAGGTGTCTTTAGGTGTAGAATGAGTCTCTTGGAGATAGCATTTAGATGGATCTTGTTTTTTTATCCATTCTGACACCTTATGTTTTTGATTAGAGCCTTTAGTCCATTTACAGAGTAATTATTTTTTTAATTTTTATTGTTATGTTAGTCACCATACGTTACATCATTAGTTTTTGATGTAGTGTTCCATGATTCATTGTTTGTGCATAACACCCAGTGCTCCACGCAGAATGTGCCCTCTTTAAACCCATCAGGAGGCTAACGCATCCCCCGAACCCCCTCCCCTCTAGAACCCTCAGTTTGTTTTTCAGAGTCCATTGTCTCTCATGGTTCACCTCACCGTTTGATTTCCACCCCTTCATTCTTCCCCTCCTGCTATCTTCTTCTTCTTTTTTTTCTTAACATATATTGCATTATTTGTTTCAGAAGTACAGATCTGTGATTCAACAGTCTTGCACAATTCACAGCGCTCACCATAGCACATACCCTACCCAATGTCTATCACCCACCCACCCCATCCCTCCCACCCACCACCACTCCAGCAACACTCAGTTTGTTTCCTGAGATTAAGAATTCCTCATATCAGGGAGTTCATATGATATATGTCTTTCTCTGATTGACTCATTTCACTCAGCATAACACCCTCCAGTTCCATCATGTCGTTGCGAATGGCAAGATCGCATTCCTTTGATGGCTGCATAATATTCCATTGTGTATATATACCACTTCTTCTTTATCCATTCATCTGCCGATGGACATCATGGCTCTTTCCACAGTTTGGCTATTGTGCACATTGCTGCTCTGAACATTGGGGTGCACGTATCCCTTCGGATCCCTACTTTTGTATCTTTGTGGTAAATAGCCAGTAGTGCAATTGCTGGATCGTATGGTAGCTCTATTTTCAACTGTTTGAGAAACCTCCATACTGTTCTCCAGAGTGCCTGCACCAGCTTGCATTCCCACCAACAGTGTGGGAGAGTTCCCCTTTCTCCACATCCCCGCCAACATCTGTCGTTTCCTGACTTGTTAATTTTAGCCATTCTGATGGGTGTGAGGTGGTATCTCATTGAGGTTTTGATTT